AAGCAGCTTGGACTTAATAGGGAACCATCAAAGGTTTCAATATATTTTTATTGAAAATGTATCCAGAGCTCATTTCCTCTCTAGGAAACCCACCCCTTGTCTACTGTAGGCAAAAGAATATTGGGGAATTCTGAGGCTGAAATTTTTGTTGTTTTTTTTCTCATTCCAACCTCTGTTCTCCCTCTCATCAAATCATCCAGAGACTGGATGGATTTTATTTTCTTTAACACAAAAGTTAGCCTCCAGTCTGTTCAACATAAAGAGACCCCATCTCTACAGTTAAAAAACTAGCAGGCCATGGTGGTGTGCACCTGTAGACTTGGCTACGTGAGATGGTGAGGTGGGAGGCTCATTTGAGCCCTTCTGGTAAAGGCTGCAGTGAGCTGTGATCATGCCACTGCCCTCCAGCCTGACTGACAGAGCCAAAATGTCAAACAAGCAGCCAACAAACAAGACTAGCTGTAATATACCAATGTGGGGAGAACAATTTCATGTGATGAAAAGTCAAGTCCAAGACCCATGTCACTGTGGGTACTTAACAGAAGAAGCCCACCCAATCTGTCCAGGAGCTGACATGGAAACCCCAGCATGTGAATCTGCTGGACTGTCCGCTGTAACAAGCTTGCAGGGAAGCTGCCAACCTAGAGGGCAGTCTGTGGCCAGGAAAAAAAATGAGATTTCAACAGCCTCTAGTGTGACAACTAACCATACCACTGAGGAAGTGGGTGGGGAGGTACAAGATGCCAGTAGAGAAAGACGACATGAAGGTGTTCAAAGTCATCTGTTGGTTTTTACCATCTTCTGCTTCATTGCCAGGAGCATCATGGTGATTGTTAAGCAAAACTTGGGCAGATAATCACCTAAAAAGTAGGATAATTGTGTCTTTTGACTAACAGTTTTAGAAAATAATTTGTCCCCATTTAATGGAGATGAAGACCTATAAGAAAGCCATCTACACTGTTCTAAATTCATCATGATTTGGAAACTTTCCAAAGAGATACTTAATCAAAATCAAGACAGCTCACAAGATTTTTTCCTTAAATAAGCCTTCTGACATAGTTTAAGTTTTGTTAAAGTGGGTTTAATAAGCAAAACTGTAAAAATGAGAGCAAAAATAAATAGATCTACTTGAAAACAAATTTGTCAATATAATTCAAATCAGTTAAAAATTAATTTATGTTTAGCTTCAAAGTTGTAACCGAAGGGAGTAATGGTCAGTAGGTATCTAAACTTAGTAGATCTCTGAATTTAATTTGTAGGCATTGAACAGCTTCCTTTAATGTGTCCAAACAAATAACTTCAAATGTATCAATTTAATTCACCAACAAGAAGTTCATGACTCAGGCAAGAAGTTGGTTTTTTCATCAAGTCACCAGGTACCTTCTGGCCTTTCATTACTGCCTTTCCTAGAGATGACCTGGGGACAAAAGATTTGCTCAACTTAAACCTAACTCTCCACACACTCTCTTTCGATAATGAGGATCCAGGTGCAGCATGATGACCCATGTCTATAATCTCAGCACTATGGGGGGCTGAGGTGGGAGCATCGCTTGAGGCAAGGAGTTCAAGACCAGACTGGGCAACATAGTGAGACCCTATCTCTACAAAAAAAATAAAAAATTAGTTGGGCATGGTAGCATGTACCTGTAGTCCTAGCTACTTGGGTGGCTGAGGTGGTAGGATTGCTTAAGCCCAGGAGTTTGAGGTTACAGCGAGTTATGATTGCACCACTGCACTCCAGCCTGGGTGACAGCAAGACCTTGTCTCAACAACAACAATAATAATAATAATAATAATAATAAATTGAGGATCCAGAGCCAGTGACTCAGTAGATAGTCAATTTCCAATTGTCTATTACCATGTCTATTGTCTATTGTAGATAGACAATTGGAAATTGACTATCTACTGATTGGCTATTTTTGTCAAAAACATAGTGATCTCACCCGCAGTGGGCTCCTAAGCGCACAATGAGGTGTAAAATCACACAGATATAGCCAATATATATAGCCAATAAAGTCACGGCAATATAGCCAAGAGCTGTATTGGCACCTAAAAAATGAGAACCTCATAAATGCCTATGACATCAAGAACCGGTCTGTTTTCTATCGTTTAATCTGTGACCTCTGCCTCAGTAGAAAGATATGGGAATGGAAAGATAATCTGTACCATATCAAACTTTAAAAAAAAAAAACAGCTGCCCTTTCTAATTTACCAGGTTTCCATAACTTACATCTGTCAAGATTTATGTTGGAAATAATTAAAATTTTATTGGCGCTCCGTAGCTGAGCAACTCATCAACTCACCAAATCTTTTCCTTTGGATTCTTATATTTCTGTTCCTAACAAATAAAAAGTCTTCCTAGCAGTGGAGACAGAACTATAGAGACAGAGAGAGACTTCTCTGACAACAGTGTGGAGTAAAGAATAGCAGTGGTGAAACTGGAGGCATGGAGACCTGTTTGAACAATATTGCCATAGTACAAGGAGAAGGAAATTAGGATTCTGATCTAGGAAGTGGCACAGAAATGAAGAGCAAGTGCTAGAGTTGTGAGAGAATTAGGTGAAAGAATTGACATGTAATAAGTAAACATGAGAAAGTGAAAAATAAGAGATGGCTGAGGGTTTTAGCTTGGGTTATTGACATAGACAGACATAGATGTTGATGCATAATGCAGATTAGATTTAGGGAGGGAAGTGGGATAACAAGATGAGTTTGATAAATTCTATGTGTTATAGAGTAGAAAGTTATTAAAACAGGAAATAAGTGAAACTAATGTGTCTACATATTTGTCTGCCTCCTACATAAGACTGTAAGCTCTTTGAGTGCATTCATCTTTGCCTTTCCAGTGCTTCACCCCACAGAGCCCAGCAAATATCATGGGCTCATTGTCTTTCTTAATAAATGAGAAGTTGAGCTAACGTTGAAAATATGAATGTTGCCTTATTGCAATGAATATTCCTAACTAAATGGATCAAATATCATGTCATTATTGCAAGTTCAGTCTAGATAGAGTTCATAAGAACAACTTAGATTTTAAGAGTTTCCTTGCTGGAATCAGCAGTTTCTAAGGATGGAAGGAATTGGTTTTGCGAAGGAGTGTACAAATGGTCTCCAACTTAGGATGGTTTGGCTTATAATTTTTCAACTTTATGATGGTTCAAAAGCAATACACACCCAGTAGGAACCTTACTTTAAATTTTGAATGTTGATCTTTTACACAGTACAACAATACACAGTGCAATACTCTCATGGTGCTGGTCAGTGGCAGTGAGCCCTGCTCCCAGTTGGCCAAGCAATTATGAGGATGAACAACCAATACTCTACAGTGTACCATATTCAATACATTATGTGAGATATTTAACACTTTATTATGTAATAGGCTTTGTGTTAGATAATTTTGCCCAATGCTAGGCTAATGTAAGTATTCTAAGCATGTTTAAGGTAGGCTAGGCTAAACTACGATATTCGGTAAGTTAGGTGTATTAATCACACTTTCAGTTTAGAATATTTTCCAATTGATGATAGGTTTACTGGGATGTAACCCCCTCATGAGTGGAGAAGCATCTGTATTTTGAGATATGGTACATGTGAGAGAAGGTCAGGTTGGATGGGACCAGAAGCAGGAAGGGTGGAGAAAACCTTTCAGCAGAAGGAGGGAGACACTAAGCCTCTGGAAGCTGAGAGAAAGTGTACCCACTCTGGAGAGGAGTAAGGACTGAAGTGAAAGGAAGTCCAAGGTACACCTAGAGCTAGCCCTCACCTAGAAGGGGAGGTGGTTTTTCTGAACCATCCCCAACTCCCCAGGAACTAAGTCAGGAGCTTTAATACTCTGGACTCCAGGAATACAGAAGATTTTGAAGTTTCTCAAAGAAAACAATGACAAAGTGGTCAAGATTCATTTAGAAATTACATAGGAGAGACATTTCTTTCCACTGCCCACTCTGTTTCATGAGAAAGTTTTAAAGTCATACTGAAAGAGGTATAGATTGAAGTTGAATATTATGTCATATTTTAATACAAGGCGCTTAGAGCAAAGTGCATCACTTTTTAAAAATGTTTTTGTTGATGCAAAATAAGCATACAGTAAATTATACAAATCTTAATTGTATAGCTCAATGAATTTTTAATATGCATCCATGTAACTACCACCAATTCAAGATGTAGAAATCTTTCCAATGCTTTTCTTAGTCAACACCAGTCACAAAGATAACTGCCCTTCTTATATAACTGTAGGTTTCTTTTGACTATCTTGAAAGTCACATGAATGAAATTTCACTGAATAATTTTCTGGAGTTAGATTTTTTTCACTCTGGGTTATGAGATTTATCCATGCTGTTTTATCTGTATTTTTCCTTTGTTTTGTTTTTTTAGTTACAGCTTAGTATTCTACTGTATAACTATAGTACAATTTATTTATTCATTCTTCTGTGAGTGGAAACTTAGACTGCTTCCTGTTTTTGCTTATTATGAATGAAACTTAGGAACATTTTTGTTTGTATCCTTCACTAGTAGGCATAAGCACTCATTGCTTTTGAGCATATTCCCAGAGGTAGAATGGTTGGGTAATAGTGCATTTAGATGTGCGGATTTAGGAGATGCTGCCACACACGTTTCCATGGTGGTTGTAGTAATTAACACTGCCACAGAAGTATATGAGAGTTCAGTTGCTCTGCTTTCTAGTCAACACATGTTTTTGTCAGTCTTTTTTTTTTAATTCATTTTTATCATTTCAGGATGCATCTAGTGGCAAATCATTGTAATTTAAATTTCCATTACCCTGATGATTAATAATGTTGAGACTCTTATGCTTAATGGCCATATTGATATTCTCTTTATTTTTATTTTTCTTAATCTGTGTAGGTACATGGTTGATGTATATATTTGTGGGGTACGTGAGATGTTTTGATACAGGCTTGCAATGGGAAATAAGCACATCATGGAGAATAAGGTATCCTAAGGTATCCATCCCCTCAAACATTTCTCCTTTGAGTTATAAACAAAAAAATATGGAATGCTTTACAAATTTGTGTGTCATCCTTGATCAGGGCCATGCAAATTGACTCTGTATCATTCCAATTTTCGTATATGTGCTGCTGAAGCAAGCACTGATATCCTCTTTTTTAAAAGTACCTCTTGAATTCTTTGCCTATTTATTTATTTATTGAGACAGGATCTTGCACTGTCACCCATGCTGGAGTGCAGTGAGTCAATCACAGCTCACTGTAGCCTCAACTTCCCAGCCTCAAGTCATTCTCCCACCTCAGCCTTCTTAGTAGCTGGGACCACAGGTGCATGCCACCATACCTGGTTAATTAATTTATTTTTCTATTTTTATTTTCATAGAGACAGGGTCTCCCTATGTTGTCTAGGCTTTTTGACTATTTAAAATTGTTTTTTCTGTCTCTCTTATTAATTCTGAATTCTTTACATATTCCAAATGAATCTTTGTCAGATATATGTATTGCTAATATCTTCTACATCGTGCCTTGCCTTTTTAGTCTCCTTTCCATGATGTCTTTTGATGAACAACAGTTCTTAGTTATAATTGAGATTCAATTTTTCAAATTTTTAAAATGTTACCATTCTTTGTATCCTTTTTATAAAAAACTTTTCTTGCTTTAGATCATAACATTCTTCTAGGTTTTCTTCTGGGAACTTCAGCGTTTTAATATTTTACATTAAGAACTAGGATCCATTGGATGCCTTTTATATCTGCAAGAAGATAGCGGTAAGGTAGACTTTTTCCATATTCATACTGCACTTGACCTTAGCCATAAGGTTGAGAAGCAATCCATGTGGGCATCTAATTGACCCAGAGCCATTTATTGAAATGACCATCCCTTCTTCATTGCACTGCAGTGATGTTTTTGACACGAATCGGGGGACTTTTATTTATGTGCATCTCTAATATGTTAGTCTGTTTGTCTCTGCCTGCACCTATACCACATTATAGCTAACTGTCATAGATTTCTAGTCTTGATATATGATAGCAAAAGTCTAGAAACCTTGTTCTTCAAAATTGCCTCAATTTTTCTTGATCATTGACATTTTCACATAAATATTAGTACTAGCTTGACAATTTCCACAAATAAACCTACTGGGATTTTCATTGGGATTACACTGAATCTATAGATCATTTTGGGAAAAAAATGACATCTTAATAATTTTGAGTCTTCCAATTTATAAACAGAAAACATCTCTTCCTTTATTCAGATCTTTAATTTCTTTTCACAATGCTTTACAGTGTTCTTACATAAGTCTTTCACATCTTATGCATGTACCATAATTTAACTAGTCCTCTGGAAATAAGCCGTTCTTTTCCATTTTTACTCCATTCGATCTTTATAAGCACAATGAAATTAAAAACCTCACATGTATCTTAAATTATTTTAAAGTGCCATAATTGGTATCTAACACTCATTCTCTTCTCCTATATGCTCATTGACATGCAAGAAGTCAAAGGGCAAAGAATGACCCCCAGGGTGTCGCATCCTTTGATTTCTAAACCACAGCAGAACCACCTCAATCTATTTCCTGTTGTTAAAATTTCTAGGGAACAATATCGCATGAACAGACCCGGTAACCTTTCTAAACCCTTACCAATATGATTAAGAACATCTTCCTTTCGTCACTTCTGCTGTAAATTAAACACATTTTCTCATTGTTCATTTAGTGGGCAAAAGAACATATCAATGAATGGACAAACATTGTCTCATCTTTTAAAAAATACTCATGTATATGTTAGAAGATAGAAACTGTATTTTTGGGACAATTAATTTCCCAAGTCTATAACTTTTTAACTCTACTAAAAAGCTAAATAAATAAAGATTCTAATCTCCAGCCTTGTTGTTGAATGAAAAAACATGCACTTGGTAAAATGTTCTATGTAAGGCCTTTTGATAAGCAAGTGAATGACTTTGGTTTCAGGTCTTCTCTCAAAGGTAGACAACTCTGATAAACTATTGGGCATCAAACCACATGAATGCTGACCCATGTAGGGGGCTCATCTCTGAGTTCCTGTGGGCCATATCTTTTTGATAATGCAGCTTAGTACCATATTTATTGATTGATAAACGTTTTTTATTACCAATGTGATACATACCCAACAAAGTCTAGAAAACATAGATGTGCAAAAGGAATCTGTAATTATATGTTTAACTGGTAACCACTGTGAACACTATAGTATATCTCCTGCCAATATTAACTTATTTCAAAAAATTTTTTTAATTTTTTATTTTATTTTTTTATTGCATTTTAGGTTTTGGGGTACATGTGAAGAACATGCAAGATTGTTGCATAGGTACACATGTGGCAGTGTGATTTGCTACCTTCTTCCCCTTCACCTATATCTGGCATTTCTCCCCATGCTATCTCTCCTCAACTCCCCTCCCCCTGCTGTCCCTCCCCTATTTCCCCCCAACAGACCCCAGTGCATAGTGCTCCCCTCCCTGTGTCCATGTGTTCTCATTGTTCAACATCACCTATGAGTGAGAACATGCGGTGTTTGATTTTCTGTTCTTGTGTCAGTTTGCTGAGAATGATGGTTTCCAGGTTCATCCATGTCCCTACAAAGGATACAAACTCATCGTTTTTGATGGCTGCATAATATTCCATGGCATATATGTGCCACATTTTCCCAGTCCAGTCTATCACTGATGGGCATTTGGGTTGGTTCCAGGTCTTTGCTATTGTAAACTGTGCTGCAGTGAACATGTGTGCATGTGTCCTTATAGTAGAACAATTTATAATCCTTTGGATATATACCCAGTAATGGGATTGCTGGGTCAAATGGAATTTCTATTTCTAGATCCTTGAGGAATTGCCATAGTGTCTTCCACAATGGTTGAACTAATTTACACTCCCACCAGCAGTGTAAAAGTGTTCCTATTTCTCCACATCCTCTCCAGCATCTGTTGTCTCCAGATTTTTTAATGATCACCATTCTAACTGGCAGGTGATGATATCTCAATGTGGTTTTGATTTGCATTTCTCTAATGATCAGTGATGATGAGCATTTTTTCATATGTTTGTTGGCCTCATGTATGTCTTCTTTTGAAAAGTGTCTGTTCAAGTCCTTTGCCCACTTTTGAATGGACTTGTTTGGTTTTTTTTTTTTTTTCTTGTAAATCTGTTTTAGTTCTTTGTAAATTCTGGATATCAGCCCTTTGTCAGATGAGTAAACTGCAAAATTTTTTTCCCATTCTGTTGGTTGCCGATTCACTCTAGTGACTGTTTCTTTTGCCGTGCAGAAGCTGTGGAGTTTGATTAGGTCCCATTTGTCTATTTTGGCTTTTGTTGCCAATGCTTTTGGTGTTTTGTTCATGAAGTCCTTGCCTACACCTATGTCATGAATGGTTTTGCCTAGATTTTCTTCTAGGGTTTTTATGGCTTTAAGTCTTATGTTTAAGTCTTTAATCCATCTGAAGTTAATTTTAGTGTAAGGTGTCAGGAAGGGGTCCAGTTTCTGCTTTCTGCACATGGCTAGCCAGTTTTCCCGACACCATTTATTAAACAGGGAATACTTTCCCCATTGCTTGTTTTTGTCAGGTTTGTCAAAGATTGGATGGTTGTAGATATGTTGTGCTGCCTCTGAGGCCTCTGTTCTGTTCCATTGGTCTGTATCTCTGTTTTGATACCAGTACCATGCTATTTTGATTACTGTAGCCTTGTAGTATAGTTTGAAGTCTGGTAGTGTGATGCCTCCTGCTTTGTTCTTTTTGCTTAGAATTGACTTGGCTATGTGGGCTCTCTTTTGGTTCCATATGAAGTTTAAGGTTGTTTTTTCCAGTTCTGTGAAGAAGATTACAGATTCTTGCCTGAATCTGTAAATTCCTTTGGGCAGTATGGCCATTTTCACAATTTTGATTCTTCCTAACCATGAACATGGAATGTTTCTCCATCTGTTTGTGTCCTCTCTCATTTCATTGAGCAGTGGTTTGTAGTTCTCCTTGAATAGGTCCTTGACATTCCTTGTTAGTTGTATTCCTAGGTATTTTATTCTCTTTGTTGCAATTGTGAATGGCAGTTCATTCTTGATTTGGCTCTCTTTAAGTCTGTTATTGGTGTATAGGAATGCTTGTGATTTTTGCACGTTGATTTTGTATCCTGAGACTTTGCTGAAGTTGCTTATCAGTTTCAGAGATTTTGGTCTGAGACAATGGGGTCTTCTAGATATACAATCATGTCGTCTGCAAATAGAGACAATTTGACTTCCACCTTTCCTATGTGAATACCCTTTATTTCTTTTTCTTGCCTTATTGCTCTGGTTAGAACTTCCAATACTCTATTGAATAGGAGTAGTGAGAGAGGGCATCCTTGTCTAGTGCCAGATTTCAAAGGGAATGCTTCCAGTTTTTGCCCATTCAGTATGATATTGGCTGTTGGTTTGTCGTAAATAGCTTTTATTATTTTGAGATATGTTCTGTCAATACCTAGTTTATTGAGGGTTTTTAGTGTAAAGGACTGTTGAATTTTGTCAAAGGCCTTCTCTGCATCAATTGAAATATTTTAAAAATTAATATTGTTTTAGAGTTTCCTTCCTAAGCTTTATACATTCACTTAATCAACATCTTTACATGCCATTAAATACTCATTTTAGCATATTTTAATTCACCTATTAATTGGACATCTATTAATTTTTCAGTTTTTCACCAATATACACAGGTGAAGTACACATATCTACTGTTAAAATTTTGTTCATATTTGTGATTTTGTCAGGACCAAAGGTCTTAACTCTGTGCCTCAAAACCATTTGTGTTCAGCTAGGCACTGTGGGTCACACCAGTTATCCCAGCACTTTGGGAGGCCAAGGCAGGAGTAGTACTTGAGGCCAGGAGTTCAAGATCAGCCTGGGCAATATAGGAAGACCTCAAATTTATAAAAAAAAAATAATAATAATAGAGAAACTTAGCCAGGCATGGTGGCATGCACATGTAGTTCCAGCTCCTTGAGAAGCTGAGGTGGGAGCATCACCTGAGCCCAAGCGTTTGAGGTTTCAGTGAGCTATTACCAAGCTGCTGCACTCCAGCCTCGTCTATAGAGTAAGACCCAAAATAAAAAAAATGGCTATTCCATTTATAGATATTTATCCTGAAGGAATTTTCACA